ATCATTAACAAAAAAGGTATATATTCAATGTGTATGACATGATGGTTTGATAGACATGTACATTGTGTAATGATTACCAAAATCAAATTAATCAAAACATCCATTGCCACAGGTAGTTATCCTTTGTGTAGGGGCGTGTGTGTGGGGGGTGGGGTAAAGACACTGAAGATCTATTCTCTCAGCAAATTTCAAGTAAACAGTACAGTGTTATTAATTATATAGTCACTATACTGTACATTAGATCCTCAGAACTCATTTTATAACTGAAAGTTAGTGTTCTTTGATCAACAGCTCATTTCCTCTAACCCTTAGCCCCTGGCAACTACTTTTCTACTCTCTGCTTCTGTGAGTTCTACATCTTCAGATTCCATGTATAAGTGAGATCGTACATTATTTGTCTTTGTGTCCGGCTTCTTTCACTTAGTATAATGTCCTCCAGGTTCATCTGTGTTGTAGAAAATGTCAGGGTTTTCTTTTTTATGGCTGAATAATATTCCATAGTGTGTGTGTGTGTGTGTGTGTGTGTGTGTGTGTATCACATTTTGTTTATCCATTTGTTAATAGGTTTGTTCCATATTTTGGCTATTGTGAATAATACTGGAGTGTACATGGGAGTGCAGATATCTCTTTGAGATACTGATTTCATTTCCTTTGGACATAAACCCAGAAGTAGGATTGCTGTATCATATGGTAGTTCTATTTTTAATTTTTTGAGGAACCTCCATACTGATTTCTGTAATGGCTGTACCAATTTCTTTTAGGAATTCTTATGATATTTTATTAATATTTTGGGCTGAATACAGAAATAACAGAAAAGCCTTAGTAAGGCTTACAGATGTCTTGGTAGGGTTTATATTCTGTGTTCTTGAAATATGTTAACTTATTAAATCATCACAACAACCCTATAGGGTAGTTAATATCATTAGCCTTATTTTACAGTTGAAGAAACTGAGGTACAGAGAAATGTCGTGACCTGCTGGTAGACTAGAGTCACATTTAGGTAGTTTGGCTTCAGAGTCAGTGCTTTTTAGCCACTATGGTGGATTTACTCTATAATGTAGAATCTCTTTTTGTAGCTAATTTGATTCTCATTTTGTAGCATAAAACTAGGCTTAGGCTGTTGTTAAATCTTAAAAGACTTTCTAATAGTCTTATGAGAATATATACAAAATTTCCTACATGTCTTATAAGATATTAATATTTTCCTTAACTCAGGGCATTACAGTCCTCCCTGACTATCCATGGGGGATTGGTTCCAGGACCCCCCATGAATACCAAAATCAACAGTTGCCCAAGTCCCTTGTATAAAATAGTATTTGCATATAACCTATGTACATCCTCCCATATACATTAAATCATTACTAAATTACCTATAATATCTAGTACAATGAAAATGCTTTGTAAATAGTTGTTATTCTTATTGTTTATTATTTTATATTGTTTTTAATTATTTTTAAAACTATTTTTAAGCTGCCATTGGTTAAATCTGGGGATGCAGAACCCACGGAAAGGGTTGACTGTATTTACCTTTTTGCCATTAAAGAAAATTATAGCTATTATTAATGCATTCTTTTGATTTGTGTCATATTTCTACTAAGATTATTTTTAAGAGTTTTTTCCCCCAATAAAATGACAAATGATAGATTACAGAGCATCAAAACAGAAACTAGGCTGAGGATGGAGGGAGGATCACTTGAACTCAGCAGTTTGAAGCTGCAGTGAGCTGTGATTGATTGCACTACTGCACTCCAGCCTGGGTGACAAAGCGAGATCCTGTCTCTAAAGAAAAAAAATAGTTGCTACAGACCATATGCTCTGCAAAAGTTAAAATATTTAGTATCTGGCCCTTTACATAAAAAATTGCCAACCCCTATTCTAGATGATTTACTTATACATTGTGGTTAACTTTTCTTTCTTTTTATTTATTTATTTTTAATTTTTTTGAGACAGAGTCTTGCTTTGTTGCCCAGGCTAGAGTGAGTGCCATGGAGTCAGCCTAGCTCACAGCAACCTCAAACTCCTGGGCTCAAGTGATACTTCTGCCTCAGCGTCCTGAGTAGCTGGGACTATAGGCATGAGCCACCATGCCCAGCTAATTTTTTCTACATATTTTTAGTTGGCCAATTAATTTCTTTCTGTTTATAGTACAGACGGGGTCTCACTCTTGCTTGCTCAGCCTGGTTTCGAACTCCTGACCTCGAGCAAGCCGCCTGCTTCGGCCTCCCAGAGTGCTAGGATTACAGGCATGAGCCACTGTGCCTGGCCTGTGGTTAACTTTTCATTGTCTTATTTCCTTTGACTAGAATCTAAACTATATAAAGGCAGAGATCTTTGTTCTCTTCACTGATACATGTATCCCAAGTACCAAGAACAGTGCTTGGCTCAATAATAGCTGTTCAGTAGATATTCAAATAGAGTAAAAAAGGTGTGATTTTATAAAAATGAATGTTTAAGTTTCAAAATGTGTTAGTTAACATTAAGTACCAAGCAACCATGTGAAGTACAGGTGTTTGTTATTCCTGTTTAACCCCAAGAAGAGACTAAGACATTGAGAGTGAAAACTAACTTGCCCAGGGTTATACAGTTAAATCACTGGTAGAACTGGGATCTGATCCTAGTGAAGCCAACTCTGTAACTGGTTCTCTATAAATGACTCTTTTTTTTTTTTTGAGACGGAGTTTCACTTTGTTGCCCAGGCTAGAGTGAGTGGCATGGCGTCAGCCTAGCTCACAGCAACCTCAAACTCCTGGGCTCAGGCGATACTACTGCCTCAGCCTCCAGAGTGGCTGGGACTAGAGGCATGCACCACCATGCCCGGCTAATTTATTCTATATATTAGTTGGCCAATTAATTTCTTTCTATATTTAGTAGAGAAGGGCTCTCGCCCTTGCTCAGGCTGGTTTCGAACTCTTGACCTTGAGTGATCCGCCCGCCGCCTGGGCCTCCCAGAGTGCTAGGATTACAGGCGAGCCACCGCACGTAGCCTATAAATGACTCTTAATGCCTAATCTACATTGCCTTTTATAGACGATACTTAGTTAACTCTATTATGTATAGTGGAATAGTTTTGCTTTAAGAATTTGTAATCTGTTTTGATGCTCTGTCATCTGACTGCACTTCTTGCTGAGAACATGCAATAAGACATTTTAGACTGTGCTCCATTTTAGGAATACTAGATCATACTTTAGAAGGCAAGTCTAGGAAATATGATGTTAGTACTTTTCTCCTTTCATTTACCTATTTGTTATATTTAGTTGAATCAGGTTTCCCTCTTTAAAATGAATTTTGAAATTGGAATTGATATAATAGAAGGTAAATTTAATATAGTGGGTAACGGAGGGCTTGAATCTTACTTTGAATTTTAACTTGAAGCAAGTTTCTTGATAACATGTACATTTTAAACATTAGAATTCAATTTTTCAGTAAGTGTAAAAAATTAAAGTTACACTGGTGTGGTGAGGGCGGATTGTTCCAGGTCAGGGATTCGAAACCAGCCCGAGTAAGAGTGAGACCCCGTCTCTACTATAAGTAGAAAGAAATTAATTGGCCAACTAAAAATATATAGAAAAAAATTAGCTGGGCATGGTGGTGCGTTCCTGTAGTCCCAGCTACCTGATAGGCTGAGGCAGCAGGATCGCTTGAGCCCAGGAGTTTGAGCTTGCTGTGAGCTAGGTTGATGCCACGGCACTCTAGCGTGGGCAACAGAGTGAGAGACTGATTAAAAAAAAAAACAAAACAAAAAAAAGTAAAGTTATATCAGAATAGTAGTTTTATCTTATTGAATACTAAAAGAAGATACAGTGTACGTTTCTTTATATATTTTTTTGTGTGTTTTCAAGTGCATTTACTTTCTCAGGTTCTGCTGTACTAAATTTCCACATTGCACTATTATGGGTGCTTCCAGGAAAGAAAAGTAGATGATTTCTTATATAAGCTGCTAAGTTTATCTCAGTTTTCTTTAAAAGAGAATAGCTCCCCTAGAGTTATCTAATAATATTCTATAATTATTTCCTAAACAGATTATTGTAATCTTGGTAGTAAAGGAGAGGGTACCTGCTTTAATCCTTTTTATTTAAAGAAACTATGTGATCTGTGTATGCATCATTTTTCTTTTTCTTTTCTTTTCTTTTTTTTTTTGTGAGACAGAATCTCACTTTTGTTGTCCAGGCTAGAGTGCCGTGGCGTCAGCTTAGCTCACAGTGACCTCAAACTCCTGGGCTCAAGTGATACTCCTGCCTCAGCCTCCCGAGTAGCTGGGACTACAGGCATGCACCACCATGCCCGGCTAATTTTATATATATATATATTTAGTTGGCCAATTAATTTCTTTCTATTTATAGTAGAGACATGGTCTCGCTCTTGCTGAGGCTGGTTTTGAACTCTTGACCTTGAGCAATCCGCCCGCCTCGGCCTCCCAGAGTGCTAGGATTACAGGCTTGAGCCACTGCGCCCGGCCTGCATCATTTTTTCATATCACCAGACCCTTCATATTGCAAACCAGCATCTTCCTGGCCTTAGCGTACTTTTTAATGATAATATTATAACTTGTTAATTTATGAATTACCTTTATTTCTACTTTAACCAAGTTTTAGGGAAATATCTTGCTATGTGCAAAAAGTAAATAGGGATGCATTTGAATATTTCTTATTGGTGCATATTTGCATGTATTGATTATACCTTTCTTTTTAAATTTTTATTCAGCTGTCTAAAACCAATTTTTCCAACAACAACGATTTCCGTGCTCTTCTACAGTCTTTGTATGCTACTTTCAAGGAGTTCAAAATGCATGAGCAGATTGAAAACGAATACATTATTGGTTTGCTTCAGCAACGCAGCCAGACCATTTATAACGTACATTCTGACAATAAACTCTCTGAAATGCTTAGCCTCTTTGAAAAGGGACTGAAGAATGTTAAGGTGAGTTGCAAACTTGGATTATTTAAACTATCACAATTTGCGCCATCTTCTTGTATGTCATTGGTAAAACATGTTAGCATTCTATAGTAAATGACTATATGTTAAAGAAAAAAATGTTTATGTTAAAGAAGAAAATTATTTTGTCACTAAAGACAGCAAGGAAGACTTTATTTAAGAGGGAAGCATGCAGTGGGGCTTACAGTAGGGGAGAGATATTGGATTTGACTCTGAATACAAGAAGGACAAGTAGAATTCTCATATTCAGAGCCTCAGGCAGTTGCTTTTGAGGGTCTCTAAGTCTCTTGTGAGCCCTAATGGTGGGGGTATGGGGGTGCAAAGTTCAAGTGACTGTAGGGCATTTAGGGCCTTTAGCAGACTGAGAAAAGTCTGTGGGGGTAGACAGAGGGATGGAAGAGCTAGAGGTTTAAAAGGGAACATATTAAAGGATTCAAGGGAGCTGAAGGGAAGTTTGCAGGTGGAAAAAAGGAGGAAGGAAGAGCAGAAGCAACGGGAAGGGAGAAGTCTTAGTTTTCCAAATAAGCCAGTGAAGTTCCAAGTTATCCTTAGTAAAGTCATGCAACATGAAAGGAAGTAGAGTTAGCTCCATAGCGGTGAAGTATATTGTCGCAGGGATTCAAGAAGGGGATTTGAGTTTATTGAGAAGCTCCCATGGGAGAAGCAGGAGCAGATAGAGTAGAGAGGCCTTACAAAAAGATGGGAAAAAATTTCCAGGCCAGGAGTGAGCCCTCACTTGAAACAGAGAGCTAGGAAAAAAGAATCTTTCTAGACCAGGACCAGGTCTTAGAGTCTGGGAGTAAACCCTTACTCTAAAGAGTCAAGGAGAAAGACTACCAGCCCAGTAGCTACCTTTCAAACAAGCCTGGACATCTAAGTCAGCTTCAGAGAGTAGACTTAGAACTTTAAGTGTCAGTATCTGTCCTTAATGTGCTTCAGTTAACTGTCAGCTGGAGCACTAGAGCCCCAGTTAGTCAGCCAGGAATGAAGACAAAGGCTTTTAAAGGTATATGCTTGGAATACTTTCTGAGAGGTCTGTGATCCCATGATAAATCTGATCCTATTTGAGTCACAGACACTATAATGTAAAAAAATTATTCATGACACTTGTTAAATATATGGTAAGGAAGACTATATTCAAGAGAGACTGCAGCAATGGGGATTTTGCAGTAGGGGAAAGAGATTGGGCTCAACACTGAATACAGTAAGGACAAGTAGGGGTTTTATAGCCATACAGCAGGTTGGGAGTCAATAGGTGGAAAATTACTGAGAGGAAACATCAAGGCCAGGGGGATTCCTGACAGACTGACTCTACAAAATTTCTTGCTGAAAGTAAGTCAGGTGATAAGATATTGAGGATAGGGGATAAGGAATTGGATCAGATATTGAGGTTGGTCAGATGCCAAGGGTGGGGAATTTTTGCTAAACTCACTCAGTAGGATTCTTGCTAAAACTGGACTTAGTGGGCCTAGGACAGAGTCTAAGGTTAGACCTAGTTGAGAAGAGGACTCGAGAAGCCTGACTCGGGTTTGTAGTTTGTAGTTTACCATTTAATAAAATTTTATAATGAAAGGTTTTCACCAAAGCTTAAAGTTGTTTTTGTAAATTGAAATTTTAATTACTGTTAAGTTAACATTTGCTGAACTCTTAAGGGAAGACTATCAGTGTAGTTTATAGTAACCAAAGGTAAAATTATTACTTTGAATGAATTAACTCTTTAATTTTATAAATTTTATTTATTTTAAAATTGAATGTCAGCCATAATGTTTACTACATTTTGTTTTTCCTTATTGTAGGGGGCCAGAAGTAGCTAATCAGGATAATTTTTAGTTATATAATATAAAATTAAAGATTTTTTTAGTGTAGTTTAGGATAATGTACAGAGAGATTTTCTTCCTAATTACATTTATGTATTATAGGATATTTGAAATTTGATCTTAGTTTATTCCCCTTAGTTTATTCACCCTGGCTGGGTGAAGCACAGGCTTAAGTTATAGCTCTTTCAAACCATGTGCACTTAGAGATTCATTTTCTAGAAAGGCTGTTCTGCAGCAGGGAGGAGGATGGAGTGAAGGGGAGAAAAAGACTCAAGGAGGAAGATCATAATAAAATTATTCTAGTAATCTCTGGACCAATACTCAGCAGCTACTTGGTGGGGAGGTGGGAGGTTTGGTAGGGGTAGGGTACTGGTGAATAATGGAAGGGAGATTTACTTTTTTATTGAATACTCCTTTGTATTCTTTGAATTTTATATCATATATTATCCACGAGTACCTCTTCAGTAAGATCTGAACTAAAGTTGTGACTAGTGGAAATAGAGAGGAGGGTCAGACTTGAGAATTATTTAGGAAATAAAATTGATAGAATGTAGTGATTGTATATAAAGGGAGGGGGAAAGAAGAAAGAAAAGAAATAAGAATGAAAATTGAGCCTGGCTTTCGAAGGTAAATAGAAGAGAGTTGAGACATAAAAAAGATCCATTCTGGAAAGGTTAGGTTTGAATTGCTGTGTAATCCAGGTGGGCATTTATTAATAAGGAGGAGGCAGAGGGATTTTAAGTTCAGATAAACCATCTGGTATGGAAAAGCAAATTTGATAATTAGTGTGGAAGTGGAAGCTGTCTGGATATGCTCAGGGAAAATGTGTAAAGTCTTAAGAGAATGGGACTTTGGATTGAATATTGGGAAGCAGTTGAATAAATTAGTTCAAGAAAAAGAGGGGACTTGAGAGGACTCAATAGGGATGAAATATTATCATATTTTTAAAGTTTTCATTATTTTGTAACTTTTCCACATGTTTTAACTTGAGAGAGCTGATATAGAAGTGATGGATAAGTTACAGGGAGATGTGATCTTAGTTCATATGAGGAAGAACTTTTTAGTTCTTTAGAGTTGTCCAGAATTTGAATGATTTACTTCAAGATGTACTGAGCTCCTTCCCTTTAGAAGTGTTGACACTAATGTGTATGACTTTCTGTCAGGATACTGTTAGCAGAAGGTATAGTTGACCACGGACAACACAGGGGTTAGGGTGCCAATATCTGACCCAGCTGAAAATCCATGTATAACTTCTAATTTTCGACTACCCCCAAACTTAACTACGTAATAGGCTACTGCTGTTAATCAGAAGCCTTACTGATAATGTAAACAGTCAACACATACTTATTATATGTATTATGTACTGTATTCTTACAATAAAGCAAACTAGAAAAAAGAAAATGTTACCAAGGAAATCATAAGGAAGAAAAGATATAGTTACTATTTATTTAGTGGGAATAGATCATCATAAAGGTCTTCATACTTGTTATCACATTGAGTAGGCTGAGGAGAAGAATGAAGAGGGGTTGGAAAATCCACGTCTATGTGGACCTTCAAAGTTCAAACCTATGTTGTTTAAGGGTCAATTAAATTCTGAATTTAATTGAAGGATGCACTAGATAACCTTAAAGGAATTCTGTAATGAATATAGTATAATAGGCTTGGAGATATATTAAGAGAATAAACATATAGAAATTATATAAATAAGCAAAATCGATAGAAGTTTTATGCAGATACTTGCTATTTTTAGACTGTTTATGACAGTTTTAAAAAGAAAGAGATCACATTACTAATGAAATTCAAAGCTGCTTGTTTTATGGACATCTTCGTGCTAAAAAAAGTACAGAGAACACTTTAATATTTGTCAATCTCTTTTCCCCTGAGGTTTTATGTTGCATTTTATTTTATTTTATTTATTTTTTATTTTATTTTATTTTTTTTGAGACAGAGTCTCGCTTTGTTGCCCAGGCTAGAGTGAGTGCCGTGGTGGCAGCCTAGCTCACAGCAGCCTCAAACTCCTGGGCTCAAGCAATCCTCCTGCCTCAGCCTCCCGAGTAGCTGGGACTACAGGCATGTGCCACCATGCCCGGCCATTTTTTTCTATATATATTAGTTGGCCAATTAATTTCTTTCTATTTATGGTAGAGATGGGGTCTCCTCTTGCTCAGGCTGATTTCGAACTCCTGACCTTGAGCAATCCGCCTGCCTCGGCCTCCCAGAGTGCTAGGATTACAGGCATGAACCACCGCACCCGGCCTGCATTTTTATTTTAGAGATGGGGTCTGGCTATATCGCCCAGGCTGTTCTCAAACTCATGGCCTCAAGCAATCCTCAGCCTCCCAAGTAGGTAGGACTATAGGTGCAAGCCACCCCACACCTGGCTTATGTTGCATTTTAAACTGACTTCCTGGGATCAGGCACACAATATAAATAATGAAGCAAAACTTTTATAAAAATGTAATTTTTTTTGTTTGTAGAATGAATATGAGCAGTTAAATTATGCAAAACAACTGAAAGAGAGATTGGAGGCTTTTACAAGAGATTTTCTTCCTCACATGAAAGAAGAAGAAGAGGTAAGCATAATTTTTCTCCCCTGTGATTTAGAGTAATAAAACTCTAAAATACTATTTTGCCTTAGAGGCTTTTCAAAACAATGTGTAGGAAGACATGTCTGGTTGATGGAGAGAATCCTCCGTTTCTTTTGGAAACTGAAGAAAAACTAAAGGAAAAACATTAGTTTTATTCCTTCAGAAAGGTTGTTGCGTTTCATTGAATGAATGAATGATTTGATTCATTTATTCAAGAAATATTTATTTTCTTATTTATAAATGGCACTGTGTTAAATGTTAATAACTTTTTATGTTGCCCTAATGTCTTTTCAGAATCTTTAGAGGATTCGTTATACTTTTAAATATTTTTTTTATTTTCATGATAAATTTAAAGAATTTTTAGTGTTTTTCAGTCATAAACTTTAGTAATTAAATGGTGTTTTTAAATTTATTGGTCTCATGCCTAATATATGTATATTGGGATATCATTGAATGGATGGACAAAACATTTTCCCTTTCTCTTCTTTTTCTAACATGAGATGAAGTACAGGGTAAGAAATAGAGAAATTATTTTATGAGAAAATGAATACCTGTTCAGCAGTAAATCACTGAGTTACTAGGACAGTGTTCTTAATCTGTGATGCCCACCAGAAATATTTGTGGAACCATAAAAAGCCTGGGTTCTACTTTTAAAGATTCTAATTGTATAAACCAGAGGTTGGAACATAAGCATCAGTTTCACAGAAGAAATCTCCATAGATAATTCTCATAGTACCACTGTACTAAAATAATGATTTGAAGAAACATTTTCAAAATCCAGAAACAATAGTGAATAGTTCAGGGTCCCAGTAGAGCTCTGCCTTTCATATTCCAGCATATTGGGTACCAGTCTCATTTGAGGTAGAGGCCTGGTTTGGGTAGAGTTCAGTTGCGGTAGTACCAGAAGGCAGTTAACTGACCTAAATGTCTAACAGTAAGAGAATGATTAGGAGTGTTTGACAAGCTCTGCGAGGGAAAAACCTTCTGGTCCTGATGCTTTAAAATTGTTTAGGGATTAACTTATTAGCTGGAGAAACCTTAGCAAGAAAGATCTTTTAGTGATATTCTTCTTTGAAATTTTTAGATAAATTAACCCAGTGATAACAACTAAAATTTCTATCTGAGATATATGGTCATAATACTACACTTGAGCCATAATAATTTAAAAAGTGTAGAGTCAAACTAAACTAATTAAGCATCTTTCCTTATGAATATTTTGTTTAATTTAGGTTTTTCAGCCCATGTTAATGGAATATTTTACCTATGAAGAACTTAAGGACATTAAAAAGAAAGTGATTGCACAACACTGCTCTCAGAAGGATACTGCAGAACTCCTTAGAGGTCTTAGCCTATGGAATCAAGCTGAAGAGCGACAGAAGTTTTTTAAATATTCTGTAGATGAAAAGTCAGATAAAGGTGAGATTCATACATATAGATAGAGAACAGTTTATTAGTTCTAAGGTCATTGACATCTGGTTGATAGGAACTGTAGATTTTGATAGGTCAATCTTTACTGTCAGTTAAAGGCATTTATTTTCCCGTATAAATTTAATTGAAGGCAATAGTTTCTATTTTAGAATATAGTGTTGTCTATGATAAATATCTCACATACCTGAGACATACCCAAGATACTGTTTCTTAATGAATTTATTTATGCACATTCAAAATTATTGAAAGCTACCATTATACAGAACATTTTTGAAGTATCGTGGCTGCTTTTATCTTGTGTTTTTCATTGGTTTTCAAAATCAGTTATGTTTATAGTTTATTTTCCATCCTTTTCTATGTGTCATTCTTTCAGCTTATATCCAATAATATTCAGAAAAATGACTATGAGAGGCAGAGTTTTTTTTGCATGCAATTACTTTGAGAGTACAAATTAGAAATGCAAATAAAACATGCCTTTTTCTTAATAGACTATTTCCTCATGTTTTATTCTTTTATTCTTATCTTCAACAGCTTTGCCTTTTTAAACACCCTTAAAGAAACAATTGGGGGCCAGGCAGCACATAGTGGCTCATGCCTGTAATCCTAGCACTCTGGCAGGCCAAGGTGAGAGGATTGCTTGAGCTCAAGACCATCCTGAGCAAGAGCAAGAGCAAGACCTCGTCTCTACCAAAAATAGAAAAATTAGCCAGGTGTCTACTTGGGAGGCTGAGGCAGAAAGGCTCCCTTGAGCCCAGGAGTGTTAGGTTACAATGAGCTATGATGACACCACTGCACTCTATCCAGGGTGATAGCCTGAGACTGTCTCAAAAAAAAAAAAAAAAGCGAAGCAATGGGCATCCTTAGGCTAATAAAAGTTCCTTTGCTTCAAGATTGGTGACAGTAATGGTGTTCTTGTTAAAATAGTTTATAATATTTTGAACTTGGTCCTTTTTTTCTTTTTCTTTTTCTTTTTTTTGAGACAGAGTCTCTCTCTGTTGCCCAGGCTAGAGTACCGTGGTGTCAGCCTAGTTCACAGCAACCTCAACCTACTGAGCTCAAGCGATCCAATCTTCCTGCCTCAGCCTCCCGAGTAGCTGGGACTATAGGCATGTGCCACCATGCCTGGCTAATTTGTTTCTATGTATTTTTAGTTGGCCAATTAATTTCTTCCATTTTTAGTAGAGACGGGGTCTCACTTTTGCTCAGGTGGTTTTGAACTCCTGATCTTGAGCAATCCACTCGCTTCGGCCTCTCAGAGTGCTAGGATTACAGGCATGAGTACCTGGCCTCTTATATTTATTTAACAAAGTAGGTGAGATGCATGTTGAAACAAAAATGATTTTATAAGTTAAGCTATAATTAAATCCATAAAGCTTGTGTGCTTTACTTTGAAAGGTAGCTTGTACCTTAAAGACCAAGCTAAGACCAGTTGTGTCTGGTTTAATTGTAATTATAAAGTGAGATTTAAAAGCATCACACTTACTGCATTTAATTTTCCTACTCCTTCAAAGCAAATTATGGCTGTCTTATGTTTAAAATATTTGGTATTTTAAAAGTGTTAGTTTAAAGAATGTGATCGTAGCATTTCTATATTTAAGTTGCTTCATGAAGACAAATCAGATATACAAGGTACTCAAATTCTTTGTAGTATTCTAATGATGAGTATTTTGTATTTTATATTTATTCTAACATCTTATTTTCATTTTTATTTTGGAAAATTATTACTGAAATAATACATTATTGAATATCCAATGACTATTTTCTGTAGTAATTGCTGATAAAAGATTCTTTTTTTGTTTTTTTGAGACAGAGTCTCACTCTGTTGCTCGGACTAGAGTGCTGTGGCGTCAGCCTAGCTCACAGCAACCTCAAACTCCTGGGCTCAAGTGATCCTACTATCTCAGCCTCTCAAGTAGCTGGGATTACAGGCATGTGCCACCATGCCCGGCTCATTTTCCTTTATTTTTAGTTGTCTGGCTAATTTCTTTCTATTTTTTAGTAGAGACGAGGTCTAGCTCTTGCTTAGGCTGGTCTCAAACTCCTGTCCTCAAGCGATCCTCCTGTCTCGGCCTCCCAGAGAGCTAGGATTACAGGCGTGAGCCACCACGCTTGGCCAAAAGATTCTTTATCAATGTGTAACAGCATCAAAAATATTTACATTTTGTTGTCTCAGCTGGAACATAAATAATATAAGTAGGTTAAAGCACCTATAGGTTAAGGAAGTCGGATTTCACAGATCTTTTGTATGAAATACGAAAATCAAAGAGGGAACACAAAGGAAGTACTGACAGGAGTCATAATGGATGAATGGAAAACGTTGTAAGATTTGTGTGTGTCATTAAAAATGCCTTGAAGATCTCATAATCTGACTCTATACTTTTGATTTAAAGCTGTATAACCTGTTTTGTTCCTTTTTCAAATGATGCTACTTAGGCTACAAAGTGAGTATTGTTTTTCCTGTGACGCCTTCATAAGAGGAAGTTAATTCTGTGTTCACTGTTGTAGTTTCCACTGATGAAATATGATTTGGGCCATGATAGTTTAACTCTACTGGTTCTTAATAAGTTTAACATCCCCATGTTACCTCTAATACATGTCACTTCCTTTTCACATCCTGCAAGCAGGAAGAAATTGACTTCAGGCACTGGATTTTATTTATAGAAATGTGATTGTAATTTCTTATTGCATTTGCTCTTCTAGCCTTTACTGCTAAAGTTTTTCTTTTTTATTTCAGAAGCAGAAGTGTCAGAACATTCAACAGGTATAACCCATCTTCCTCCTGAGGTAATGCTGTCAATTTTCAGTTATCTTAATCCTCAAGAATTATGTCGTTGCAGTCAAGTAAGCACTAAATGGTCTCAGCTGGCAAAAACTGGATCGCTTTGGAAACATCTTTATCCTGTTCATTGGGCCAGAGGTAGGTAGATGAGACTTTTAGTTTGTTTTAACAATATTTGCATCTATTTTTCTAGATGAATACTCATAGACATTAATAAGCAAGGCCAGGAAGGAGATCTCTGAGAGGTTGACCAAAAAGTAGATTTTATAGTTAGATGATGTGCTCTTGGTTGACATGTTTCAAAAGCTAACAATGCTGAAGCATTCATCAGTAAATTATGTGATGTCTGACATTTCTTTTAAAATAATTAGGAAAAAATAGTCTGGGGAAGAAATACAAAAAGATAGGCAAAATGTTGATTATTGAAGATAGGTGATGGGTACATGGGGATTCATTATGCTAGCTCTTTCTACCCTGGACTATGGAATTTTCTGGTGCTGGCTCAAAATAACTGTGAATCTATCTTTAACATCTTTTTTTTGTGATTGGTAATGCCTCATTTTCTAAATAACAATTTCATATTAATTACATTGTGGTAAGTTACTTTCACATGTGAACAGTTAAAATTTTCCTTTCATAAACATATAATGCAGTAATGGGATACATGCAACTAATATGGCATATATTTTCTGTCACTGAATCATAAAACAATTTCTTCTAGGTGAGTATTAGCCTCAAAATTACACATTAATTTTTTTTGTAGATTTCTACTTGTGACTTTATACCTGATTTAAATTATGAGTGTTATTTAAAAGCAGTTTTATTTGTCACAATAAAATATAGCACTTTTAAGATAAGCAATTAGATATTTAATGTTTTTTGAGTGAAGCTATTTGTAGTACTAGGTAGATTTATATGATCTAAATGATTAGAATTGTTATTTTTATGTGGAATAATTTTTTCTGTTAATTTTAAAATAATGAAATATTGAGTGAAAAGTCAAATAAGGCAAACATGGATGTATCAAATACTTTTTGTCCAGCTATTTTTAATTTTTAAGAATTAGTTAAGAATTAATTAGATACGATTTGATATGAGTGTCAAATGTGATAATGCTATGCTAATAACTTCCATGAAGTCACTCTAATCTTAAAATACTTTTTCTGTTTTTAATATGTTTAAACAAAAATTCCAATAAAAGGGTTTTTATTTATTTATTGTATTTGTTTTGAGTGGTTTTCAATCAGAATTAATTTTTACCCCCCTCCAGGGGACATTTGAAATGTCTGGAGACATTTATATTTGTCCCATATTTGGGTATTATATTTGGGTATTATACTGATATCTAGTAGGTGGAGACCAAGGTTGCTACTAAGCACCCTACAGTCTATAGGACAGCCCCCCCCCCCCAAACAAATAATTGCCTGGCACAAAGTGTCAGTAGTGTCAAGGTTGAGAAATTCTAGTTTAGATGTAATGTTAAGAGTTCAGAGTTCAGTAAATTCTACATTATCTCTCACTTTGCTATCATATAATTAATTGTAACACATTCTCCTGGAACTGTGAATTTATGGTTTATCTTTATCTTTCCCTTTGACTTCTGTTCCCACCTATTTCTGAATTGCTGACTGATTCACTACAGAGTAGAAAGTTCTGCCTCCTTTTGTTTGTTAGATTAACTGTCATAACCTTTTATCATAACAAACCTTTTGTTTGTTAGATTAACTATCAAATTAACTATCATGATGTTGCAGGAGCTAGTATGAAGCCACAGTAGGGGAAAATGTTATGTTGTTTTTCAGTGATTTCTAAAATTGTATGCAAGATTATTGATAATTACTTATAGACATGATTATAACCGTTAAGTTTATAACAGTAAAAGACAATTGAAAAACTTCTTGTATAGAGAATAGCTACAAAGCAAGTACATAGCAGAGTATGTAAATTTTTGTAGTTATTGTTCTATTTCCATAGTTTCAGAAAGGTTTTACTTTGAGAAAGTAGGAACTATTGGTTAATTATTATTGTTAATCAAACCCACATAGTCATAGTTCTTTTCAGTATGTCCGAAATTGAATCCAATGCTTATTTAGTTTTTTTTTTTTTCACTATCATTAAATATTTCTAAAAATACCTGGCCCATTGCCTAGGGCTCAGATATTTTCTGTGTGTAGAGAGTTTTTATTGTAAATAAGTTAGTTTTTTTATAAAAACAGGCAGTCTAATTTTATTTTGTTGTTCTTATTTGTTTATTAATTGAGTAGGTGACTGGTATAGTGGCCCTGCAAATGAGCTTGATACTGAACCTGATGAGGAATGGGTGAAAAATAGGAAAGATGAAAGTCGTGCTTTTCATGAATGGGATGAAGATGCTGACATAGATGAATCTGGTAAGCATGTTTAGAATTAAAATTATGACGTGGTGTTTTAATGATGTTATGTTAAGTACTTCTAATTACTAGGTGTTAAGATTTATATGTTTTGTGTTTTCTAAAGAAACTGGTATTTCTAAGCCTACTACTTCTTACAATTAGAAGGAATAATAAGAAAATTTAAAATTTTTAAAATTCTAAGATTTTAAAAAATCTTTATAGGGTTGTTTCCCATTTGTTTTTATATTAAAATAAAAAACTAGAAATTGATGCCTTTTTTCCTTATGGAAGTAATGTACATTCATTATAGTACCTTATAGTTTACAGTATGTCTTTTAGGGCTATTTTAAATGATCAGTTGAACAGTATTTATTGATTGGGTCATCTGTGGCCCAAAGGAAGGAAGATGAAGCTGTTGAGTCTACTTACTGATTCATGAACAGTCATAACACTTGCCTCATAAGGTTGTTGTAGAATGAAGAAGTAAGATAGATAGATAGATAGATAGATAGATAGATAGATAGATAGATAGATAGATAGATAGATATGTAGAGTGTTTATAGGGAATTATAACTAGTGCAGCTGTTCACTGAGCATTGAGAGTTTAGGGTGCATAAGACTTTATTCCTACCCTTAAGGAACTCAGAAATGGGGGTGAATTTAGAAAATATAATTTTTAAGGTACATAATGAAAAGTGCTATGTAATAGAGGTGCAGAGAGAAGCTTTTTGGGAGTAAGACAGAGGAAGACAAATTCTGTCTTGGATACTATTCTAGATAATAATTACTAAAAGATGATGAAATAGTAAAAAATTAACAGATGAGATATTTTTCTACTTGGTAAAACTGAAACGGTAGGAAGTTTTATTTATAAAACTGCCCACTTAAGAAAGGTAATCTGGCCGGGTGCGTGGTTCATGCCTGTAATCCTAGCTCTCTGGGAGGCTGAGGCAGGAGGATCGCTGAAGGTCAGGAGTTCGAAACCAGCCTGAGCAAGAGCAAGACCCCGTCTCTAGTAAAAATAGAAAGAAATTAATTGGCCAACTAAAAATACATAGAAAAAATTAGCTGGGCATGGTGGTGAATGCCTGTGGTCCCAGCTACTCAGGAGACTGAGGCAGAAGGATCGCTTGAGCCCAGGAGTTGGAGGTTGCTGTGAGCTAGGCTGACGCCACGGCACTCTAGCCTGGGCAACAGAGCGAGACTGTCTCAAAAAAAAAAAAAAGAAAGGTAATCTGGTCTGGTGAAAGAACTAAACATATGAAAAGTAAGAACTATAGGTAGAAAGATTATTATTTCAGCAAGAAAAGTGGTTCATTTTTATGAAACGAAGATGCCACATTTTGGTATAAATAAAAGTTCGTGAGGTACTATATAAGGAAGAATTCTATTCCAATTAGATTTGGTGATGTGCTATGGCAGGCATTGTTTTAGGTATGAAAGAAATGGAAAAATAAAAAAACCTGGCCTTGTTCAGCTTAAAATTTGTAGTAGGGAGGCAGACAGTAAAAAAAGGTAAAATATATGCTGTGTTAGATGATGATAAATGGTGTGGAGAAAAAGAAGGGAAAGCATACTAGCAAGTAGGGAAAGAAACTACAGATGTATGTATGTATGTATGTATGTAGTCTCGCTTTGTTCCGCAGGCTAGAGTGAGTGCCATGGTGTCAGCCTAGCTCACAACAACCTCAAACTCCTGGGCTCAAGCAATCCTGCTGTCTCCGGCTAATTTTTTCTATATATATTAGTTGGCCAAATAATTTCTATTTATAGTAGAGACAGGGTCTCACTCTTGCTAACGCTGGTTTTGAACACCAGACCTCGAACAATCCGCCCACCTTGGCCTCCCAGAGTGCTAGGATTACAGGCATGAGCCACTGTGCCCAGCCCAGAAGTTACAGTTTTAAATAGAGTGATTAGTTAAGGTCCCCTGAAAAATTTGAACAAAGACCTGAAGAAGGTGAGGTCTTTGCTCAGACGTCAACTTAAGGAAGACTCCACTTATTCTAGAAAATATATAATATCCATAAGAATTTTAAAGCCTTTACCAAACTCAGTGTATATGTCTCAACACTTGAAGATAGCCAAAGTGAAAACTATTGTTTGCCTTCAATATTGAAAAAGAAAGGTTTATACTATAAAAATTGAGCCTTTTAAAGATAATAAATCTGTTCTGTTGATTAGTGCATTTAAGACTAAACTTTGGATCTGCCATCTACTTCAGAGCTTTTCCAGCTTTTCCAGTAAAGACTAGCTGTCTTTACTAGTCTTGCAGAGAAGTTATTTTTCATAGAATGTATAATTTTCTTTTAAAGATTTCACAGTCCAAATTACCCTGATTTGCTTATTACATATTATATACAGGCATCAAAATAGCACATGTACCCCCAAAATATGTACAACTATTATATACTGAAAAAAATAAATTAACAGATTTCACAGTAAGTAGTACACATATTTAGATAGTAAAGGCTACAGAAACAAAAGAATGGCTTGGTAATAGAATAGAATAAATAGAGTTCATTAAAGTAATTTTTAACTCTTTATATATTATATATATATATATCTTGGTAAAAGAGGAATTTAGGATAATATCTATAAATGAACCATTTAGTAGCAAATTCATTTTTTTTAAAATTTCAGAATATTATGGGGGTAGCAAATTGAGTAATTATTCTTTCTACTTACATTCTTTTTGTCAGCTGTACTCAGTTTTGTTTTAAATGAGACTTCCTGAACTTACTCTGTTAAAACTCTTTTATGTTTAGAGACATTCATGTTAGGTCTTTAGGTAAGCATAATATTATTAGGGTACCGAAAAAGGCAATAAAATTATTAGTTTGTTCTTTTTAGTATAGTGTGTTTTTGTTATATCAAATTGGAGTTTGTAGTTTTTTCATTGTGGTTGTTGTTACACATCCTGTGCATCCTGTTATAAACATCCAAGCTTTACAGAAACTAAAAACGCAAACTCATTTTCAACTTCTTAAAAATTCTGAAGTATCTTTCTTGACTCATACTTGCTTGACTCATTATGATCAGGCTAATTTAGTTGAGTTGCAAATCTCTTCTAGCTCTGTGTCCTTTTTATTTAGGTAGAATAACTGATGGTGCTTTTACTGTGGATCATTTTTCTTTTGATATATATTCTGTTCTCTTGGAGAACTTTTACCATTCTTTCAGTATTTACAGTTTTTTTCCAAAACTTTTTTCATTACCTAAAAATGAAATTATTTACATAAGGGAGTATAAGGATAGCAAAGTATTTCATATTTAATGATTTGGTATATCCTTGAATAGCCTGATTATAATTAGTGTATCAAGTTCTTAGACTTTTAAATTTATTTTTACAGAAGAGTCTGCAGAGGAATCAATTGCTATCAGCATTGCACAAATGGAAAAACGTTTACTCCATGGCTTAATTCATAATGTTCTGCCATATGTTGGTACTTCTGTAAAAACTTTAGTATTAGCATACAGCTCTGCAGTTTCCAGCAAAATGGTATGTATAAATTAGCACTAGTGGGGGTATTAAGAAAAATAGCAATGATATAACTTTGATTTGCTTATTCCTGAGTTTAATTAAGGGAAAAAAACCCCAATTATTGAGTGCCTTCCCTTGAGTAGGCATACACTGCTAGCTTTCATGTTATTTCATTTCAGTTCTCACAATCTTTGTAGCATAGATACTGCCTATATGTTACAGATGCGGAAACTGAGACTAGGAGAGGTTAAACATTTAGTTTCAAGTGATGAAACCTAGTTTTATATGATTGTTTATAATATGTAAGGCATGGTAATATGGGCAAGTGAGAGGAAATCACTGTTTTATAAAAGTGTATAATGTGACTTCCTACATCAGAATCTCCTTGGGTATTCCTTAAAAATGTAAATTTCTTGGGTTTATTCTCATAACTACTAAAAGAGATTCTCAGGGATTTGAGCCTAGAATATTTTTAGTGCACTGTTCAATTGATTTTTTGTTACACAGACATTTGAGAACCATTGGATTGTATATACTAACAGTTATTTGTTATCTAATTAAAAGTCTACAGATCTTCATATTGACAATGTCCACCCCCATCCTCCATAGGTTAGGCAGATTTTAGAGCTTTGTCCTAACCTGGAGCATCTGGATCTTACCCAAACTGACATTTCAGATTCTGCGTTTGACAGGTTAGTTGTGTTTAAATATTTAAATATAGCAAAATTATCATTTATATAATTACAGTTTAATCATACTATTATTTTTTACTATCAAATCTCAGTCATGTATGGTTGTAACTGGATAGCAGCTTCCAGTTCTTTGACTCTTCCTCACAAGTCCCAGCTCATCCAAAACTCCTATTTGGATTATCTTTAACTCTCTACAATCCTATATTGTGTCTAGGTCTTTGAGCCTTGCTGTGCAACTATGTAGGTTGATATTATGCTTTTAAGAAGTTTTAGTTTCAGTTGGGCTCTAAGGGCCATTTGGCAGAGCTCCTTCTTACATTCTTCACAGTTACTCTGAAATAGTGTCACTTTGTTAAAGCTATACTTTTCAAAGAGTGTATTTCCTTTGATACTACCAATTTCTCCTGTATTCTAGCTCACTTCCTCTTTCCCACCCTAGCACTTATATCAGCACCTTTTTTCCTCTTTCAGTGGGATGAGTATACTCTACTCTGGCTAATAAGGCTCTGTCAATTCCTAGAGCTTGTTACTTGTGGATTTTGCTCTGCTAATCATTAGTTATTCTCTTTATTTCATGTACAGACAACCTCTCTTTTACTGGTTACTTTTATTTTTTATTTATTTATTTTGAGAAAGAGTCTCACTCTGTTGGCCGGGCTAGAGTACTATGGCGTCAGCCTACCTCACAGCAACTTCAAACTTCTTTGCTCAAGCAGTCCAATCCTTCTGCCTCAGCCTCCCAAGTAGCTGGGACTACAGCCTTGCGCCATCATGCTCAGCTAATTTTTTCTATATATGTTTAGTTGGCCAATTAATTTCTTTCTATTGTTAATAGAGACGGGGTCTCGCTTTTGCTCAGGCTGGTCTCAAACTCTTGACCTTGAGCAATCCTCCCACCTAGGCCTCCCAGAGTGCTGGGATTACAGGTGTGAGCTACCACACCCGGCGGCCTACTGGTTACTTTTAGAATGATAAACTTAAGTCTCTACCATCCTTATCCTTCTCCCATCCTATCCTGTTAGGTTAGCAATACTCCTAGTTACTAATTACTCTCATTGTATTTTTGTGTTCCTGGCATCAAAAATAGTGCTTGACAATAGATAGTCAGTAAATGTTTAAGTGATTATATTAGATATAAAAATCTTTCTTCTAGTTTTCATCTACATACGTATAGTTGAATGCTTTTGAAGAATTTAACAATATCCATTAATATTCTTTTTACCTCTTAATTTTAGTTGGTCTTGGCTTGGTTGCTGCCAGAGACTTCGGCATCTGGATCTGTCTGGTTGTGAGAAAATCACAGATACAGCCCTAGAGAAGATTTCCAGAGCTCTTGGAACTCTGACATCTCATCAGAGTGGCTTTTTGAAAACTTCTACAAGCAAAATCACTTCATCTATGTGGAAAAATAAAGACACTACCATGCAGTCCACCAAACAGTTTGCCTGTTTGCACGATTTAACTAACAAGGGCATTGGAGAAGAAATAGACAATGAACACCCCTGGACTAAGCCTGTTTCTGCTGAAAATTTCACTTCTCCTTATGTGTGGATGTTAGATGCTGATGATTTGGCTGATATTGAAGATGCTGTAGAATGGAGACACAGAAATGTCGAAAGTCTTTGTGTAATGGAAACAGCATCCAATTTTAGTTGTTCCACCTCTTGTTGTTACAGTAAGGATATTGTTGGACTAAGGACTAGTGTCTGTTGGCAACAGCATTGTGCTTCTCCAGCCTTTGCATATTGTGGTCATTCATTTTGTTGTACAGGAACAGCTTTAAGAACTATGTCAGCACTCCCAGAGTCTTCTGCAATGTGTGGAAAAGTGTCAAGGACTAGACTGCCTAGGGGAAAAGACTTAATTTACTTTGGGAGTGAAAAATCTGATCAAGAGACTGGACGTGTACTTCTGTTTCTCAGTCTGTCTGGATGTTACCAGATCACAGACCATGGTCTCAGGTGAGTAATCTGTTCCAGAGTATTAGGAAATGTACATGTTCTATTTTCAAATGGAATATAAAAATTTTTAAGTCATTCCTTTTAGTTGCTTTACTTAAACAAAAGGATTAATCAAAATCTGCCCTAATTCAGAGTGTTGGAACAGTATAACTTCTTTTTTCTTTTTTCTTTTTTTTTTTTTTTTGAGACGGAGTCTCACTCCGTTGCCTGGGCTAGAGTGCTGTGGCATCTCCCTAGCTCACGGGTAACCTCAAACTCCTGGGCTTAGGTGATCCTTCTGCCTCAGCCTCACAAGTAGCTGGGACTATAGGCATGCGCCACCATGCACAGCTAATTTTTTTTTCCTATATATTTTTAGTTGTCCAATTAATTTCTTTCTGTTTTTAGTAGAGACGGGGTCTCACTCTTGCTCAGGCTGGTTTCGAACTCCTGACCTTGAGTGATCTTCCCACCTGGGCCTCCCAGAGTGCTAGGATTACACGTATGAGCCACCATGCCTGGCCAGAACAGTGTAACTTCTGATATCAACATGAAGTTTCATTTTAGTCAGTTCAAATCCATTGAGATATATGGAAGAGCATAAATTTTAAGGATTAAATAAATACTTATTAAATGGCTGTATCACATTTTTAAGGTACTTTAGTGGATGAATAAGATATAATTTTTTACCCTTAAGGACATATAACAGAAGAAAATATGTATACCATTTTGTGTTGCTATTATTTTATATTGAGGATTTTGAGAAATATAGAATGTCCATAGAGGTAATTTAGTGCCATTATGCAGCCTTTAGTGTTTACAAAAACCAAAGCACAGCAGAGCTAGAGTTTAGAATTTTGGGTCCTTGATCATAATCTACTTACTTTCTATTGCTTTCTTAAGTCATAAAGAAACATAGAAGAAGTTATACATTTTCTCTTGTTTTTGTAAGCACAATGTTTAGTAGATTAAATTAAACTTCTTTGTTTCCCTAGAGGAAAGTACAGGTGGAGGGAGAGGAAACATTCATCAACCCAGAGAGGTAGCTGTTCTTAAAAGCCATGGTATACTTTATGTTTTATAGGACCCACTTGAAACTGTGTTAGATTATGAGTACTGTTAGGCACAATGTTGGAGAAAATACCATGGTTCACTGACTTTGGGGCCAGGTTGATGCTGATTTTTTTCTGTATAATTGGCTTTGTGCAAAATACTTAATGTTATTGTGAGGCTTATGAATATGTATAAAGCATCTAACAATGATACACAGTAGGTTTTCAACAAGCTGCATCTGCTGTGCAATAATTGATTATCTTTGATATGAGCCTTTGGAAATTGATTGCATGTTTCTCTTTAATAGTGAGGTGTCAGTCAGATATTTTATAACAAAAAATTCTTCCAGCACAAAATCTAATACGCTCTACCATTGTAAAAGATATTTAATATGAAATTATTGTAAAAACCTTTTATAAGTCTTTTACAATAACCAACAGTGTTTTCCCCTGAGGTAACTACCATTACTGTGGTTTGGCTGCTTTGCATCATTCCATTAATTTTCTATTTGTTCAAACCCAAGTGTATAAAAGTTAAAAAAATAAAAAGCAAAGGTAACCTTTTTCTGAGTTTTATTCTTTTTAAAAATTTTATTATGTCTATATTCCTAACTGCAATAATTTTATTGTTTTTGAATGCAACTTGGTCCAATTTAAAACCTAAAAATTCATTTTTCATTGCCATTATCTTTTTTGATTACCATCATACCTTATTAAAATTTATTTGAGGCTTTGTTCAGTTGCATTTTCAACATGACCAGTTTTAGTGTTTGTTCAGAGAAGTAATATGTACAATCTTTGTAATATTAGCTGAGATGATTTCTGACCCTGTGGCAGTTTTCCTATGTTTTCTTAGTATTTTAGGTGGTTTTCACAATAACCCAAGACTTATTAAAATTTTAGTTAAAAATTGATTTCAAAGACAGAATTTTGATGAATCTAATTAAGAGATTTTTTTTTTTTTTGCTTTCAGTGAGAAAAGATTTAGAAACTGTTCTGGTGTAAGATTCTGAAAACACTAGAAGGGGGGATACTTCATCTAAAAGGAGAATTGTAAGATTTTACTTGAATACCAAAGTGTTTTCCTCCTCACTTCCTGATAAGGGAGAGTATTAATTTCCTAAGTGAAACTTGAAGAAAAAAGAAAATGGTTTTTAGGTGTTGTTTCATGGTATGATTTTTGGCACTGATTATTAACAAGTTCTCATACTCTTAACCTTAGAAAGAAATAAATGGATAATTTACTGTGTTGGGATTGGAAATGAGTTGCATTTCCTCCTTTGGGTTTTCATGAGTAGTGGAGAGGAGTTTGCATATGAAGTATTCTTGAATAAAACAGTTTGAATGCATTTGAAATAAAGTAAGAATTCATTTGGGGAACAGAGGAATACACAGGATCTGTCTTATCTGTGGCTAATTGAAAAAGTCTTCAGTCTGAGTACAGATTGTCTCATTTTTAAAAAAAGTTTGGATTTAATAAAAAAAATTGTCTCATTTTAATTAAACTTTATCATGAAGGACTCCTTCTAAATCATTTATTTATTTATTTATTCAGAGACAGAGTCTCACTCTTTCCCCGGGGTAGAGTGCCATTGTGTCAGCCTACCTCACAGCAACCTCAAACTCCTGGGCTCAAGCAATCCTTCTGCCTCAGTCTCCCAAGCAGCTGGGACTACAGGCATGCGCCACCATACCCGGCTAATTTTTTCTATATATTTTTAGTTGGCCAATTAATGTCTCTCTATTTATAGTAGAGACGGGATCTGGCTATTGCTCAGGCTGGTCTTGAACTCTTGACCTTGAGCGATCCTCCCACCTCAGCCTCCCAGAGTGCTAGGATTACAGGCGTGAGCCACCGTGCTCGGCTATAAGACTTTGTATGCATTTCCTCAGAAGCTGGCTAAGGAAATAGAAAATATAAATGTAATTTTTAGGAGCAATTCTTTTTTGCATTAATTGTATCAGTTTAAAAAGTGGTTTAGTCAGTTACAGTAATAAGTACAACTTGTGTGTCCGTAGGTTTGAGAACAAATACAACTAATATAAACATATAACTTATGGGACCACATATGTTCAGGTATGCTAGTTGGGAGCATTCAGTATATCCTTCTGCATTAGTCATTTGTGTTTTATTCTGGATGGGTAGCACGAGTTTTGGTAAATTGGTAATATGGGGCTTATTAAAAGAGGATTAAGGCCGGGCTCGGTGGCTCATGCCTGTAATCCTAGCACTCTGGGAGGCTGGGAGGCCGAGGTGGGCGGATTGCTTGAGGTCAGAAGTTTGAAACCACCAGCTTGAGCAAGAGTGAGACCCCATCTCTGCTATAAACAGAAAGAAATTAATTGGCCAGCTAATATATATATAGAAAAAAAAATTAGCCGGGCATGGTGGCGCATGCCTGTAGTCTCAGCTATTTGGGAGGCTGAGGCAGGAGGATTGCTTGAGCCCAGGAGTTTGAGGTTGCTGTGAGCTAGGCTGATGCCATCGCACTCACTCTAGCCTGGGCAATAAAGCAACAAAGCGAGACTCTGTCTCAAAAAAAAAAAAAAAGGATTGACTGTAAAAATGTAGGTTACTCAAGGTTGTAAACTAGATTGAAGCCATAGGGAACAGATAGGATTGTGTAATTTTAATACAATGTTTTATGGCTTTTTAAGAAATGAAATAAAATAAATCTTGTCAGTTAATTTAAAAACAGCCTCTTATCTAAATGCTTAACTTTCTTAGTGCCCATCATAAAATACATGTTCTTTTCTGGCTTATTTCGCTTAGCATGTTTTCAAGGTTTATTAATGTTGTAGCATGTATTAGGACTTCATTTCTTTTTATAGTAGAATTTTATAGCTGTATTTATATACCACATTTTGTTTATCAGTTTGTTGCCTATTGTGAATAATGCTTCTGTGAACCTTGACATGCAAGTATTTGTTTCAATCTTTGTTTTCATTCTTCTTTAATTTCTTTCAGCAATCTTTTGTAGTTTTCAATGTACAAGTTTTGGGTTGAATTTTTTCTTTTCTTTCCTCTCCTCCTTCCCTGTTCCTCCTTCTCTTTCCTTTTTTTTTTTTTTTTTGTTTGAGACAAGGTCTCTGTTGCCCAGGCTGGTGTGCAGTGGCACGAACATAGCTTGCTGCAACTTCCAACTCCCCAGCTTAAGTGATCCTCTTGGCTCAGCCTCCTGAGTAGCTAGGATTACAGGTGTGCACCACCACACCCAACTAATTTTTAAATTTTTTGTAGAGATGGGGATCTCACTATGTTGCCTAGGCTTATCTGAAACTCCTGGCCTCAAGCTACCCTCCCACCTCAGCATCCCACAAGTGCCGGGATTACAGGCATGAGCCACCGTGCACAACTCTGTTCTTCAGTATTTATACTTTTAGATGCTACTGTAAATGAAATTATTTTCTTAATTTGTTTTTTGAATTAATTGTTGGTGTATAGAAATGTAACTGAGTTTTGTGTGTTGATTTTTGTATCCTGCTACTTTACCGAGTTTGTTAGTTCTAACAGGATTTTTGGGCAGTCTTGTAGGGTTTTCTCAGTATAAGATTGTATCATGTAAACAGAGAAAATTTTACTTCTTTTTAATTTCGATGTCTTTTATTTCTTTTTCTTGTCTAATTACTCTGGCTAGAAATTCTAGTACTGTGTTAAATAGAAGTGGCAATAATGGGCATCCTTACCTTGTTTCTAAATTTAGGTAAAATCTTCAGTCTTTCACCATTATTGAGTATGATGTGAGCTATAAGTTTTTCATATATGGCCTTTACCATGTTGAAGCAATGCCCTTTTATTTTTAGTTTGCTGAGTGTTGAGTTTTGTTACATGCTTTTTCTGAATCAGTTGAGATGATTATATTTTTTCCCTTATTCTATTAATGTAATGTATTATGTTGATTGATTTTCATATGTTAAAAGTTGATAAAATTTTATTTTTAAAATGTTTAATAGAATTCACCAGCGAAG